TTGTAACATGTCACATTGTACTACACAAATTGTACCTTGTAACATGTCACATTGTACTACACAAATTGTACCTTGTAACATGTCACATTGTACTACACAAACAAGAGATGAAACAGTCCCAGTCTACCCTGTCTGATGTGTTTGTTTCTTTATTTTCTGCAGGCCGTGGATACGCCTGGGGATCAGGGGTCTCTAACCAATTGTGTCTTGGAGAAGAAGTCCAAGAAGTTGCGGCCCCTGTCCCCATGGTAGGACTGCCCGGCCCACTGCAGACCATCAGCGTGGGCGGGCAGCACACCCTCGTCCTGGTGGACCCTCCTCCTGCTCCCAGTACAGCAAAATAAAAGGCTGAAAATGTACGACGACTTGTCTGTGATTATTATGTTTTAGTGCAAGTAGAGATACGGTAGCAGTACAGGCGTTTAGGTTGAAAACTTTAATTTTGAAGTAATTCGTTTTCCCACTTTACAACGAGAAAGGTAGTAACAGTAAGATAGTATTTCAGACTTTTTCAACCGGATAAAAGTTTTAATATAAGCAAAAAACTTTTTCTCCAGTTGGAAAAGTCTGAAATACTATATTACTGTTGCTACGTATATATACCCTGGATGAGTAATCTTCACAAACGTAATGAGACAGGTAATTCCCAGCTTGAAGGTTCATCTGTGCAGGAGCCACTTCTTAGTCTGAAACAGGTTTGAACTGTAATTTCCAACAAAAAATCGTGGACTTTTCAACTGTTCAACTTCAGTCTTTGTCAATGAATATCGGGTATTCTTTGACAAAGACTGAAGTTGAAAAGTTTTTTAGTTGGAAATTACAGTCCAAACCTGGTTCAGAAAGGTAACTCCTACCCCTGTGGTAAAGAGTAAACAGTTCAACCATAAGTAGTATTTTTGAAACACCCCAAAAGTCCTTAGCTACTCAGCTATTCTTCCTCATTTCCTTAATCAGACTGAGCCAACTACGGAGTAGAGTTCCTGAAAATAGTTTCATCAGGTTAGTAAAGTATAGGATACAGGAGTTTTCTTTTACACAACCAAGATTTCTCACCTAATTATAAGGCCATGTTGATTTGATTTTATGGATGACATCCTCTGGGAACCCCAAAACTGATGCGCGTATAAGAAAAAAGTTTGGCAGAAACAAAAAGTTGCTTTCCTTATGAAATCTACGTGTCATTAATGTTGAACAAATCCATTTCTTTACATTTTTTAGCCTGGGTGAAATCCATTTCTTTACATTTTTTTAGCCTGGGTGCCATCCAAAATCAGATGGCACCCAGGCTAACATTTTTGTCTTATTCGTTTGTTTTTTTCATTCTACGACATTGGTATCGTTTTCCAATATTTTTTTTGGGAACAGTATATATTTTCTCATTTTGCAACTGTTTTGAACGACTTACGGCCAAAAATTCATGTGCGCGTGGATGTAATCCATATAATCAAATCAACATGGCCTCAGTACTGACGTTTCGATGTCTATCAGACACCTTCCCCTCGGAGCTTCTGACTGGAGTTCTGACTGGACTTGTGTTCTCGCCGCAAAAGCGCCACCCACATGGGCTACATACAGCGGCGAGAAGCAGAACTCCAGTCAGAAGCTCTGAGGAAAGTGTCTGATAGACACCGCGAAATGTCAGCACTTAGGTGAGAAATCTTCGTTGTGTAAAAGAAATCTCCTGTATCCTAGAAAATGTTCCATAACAGAAAACAATTCCCCAGTGTTATTTCATGCAATCACCTTCACTGCGACCTACGTATCATCGGATAATACATACAGATATGAAAAATATATACTGTATCTAGAGTTCCCCGATCTCATACCTTCAAATGATTATTCTTTATGACTGACAAATTATAGAATATTCCCCCTGATTTACATGCAAAGTTGCATAATTGTCACATACTTATATCAAGCATCACGTAATAAGCTACCTACATACCAAAAATCAGGACGATCCGTCAACCGGTTCTTGAGTTATTTTCTTTTGAATATTTTCAAACCAACTTTGGGCTCATCTTGCATTGAAAGGCCGGCGCGTTTTCTTGGGTGGGTATGACATAAATAAAATACAACACGGTGTATTCCGCATCACCCTCGGTCCCGGCCCTCCCGCGAGTCGGATCGCGGTCGGGCCGATACCTCGGGCGATACGGAATACACCGTGTTGTATTCTATATTTATCCGACAGACATAAATGAGTGTTCAGGAAACCCATGCAAACATGGACGCTGTGTGAATAAAGCTGGTGGATATAAATGCATCTGCCCACCTGGATGGACTAGAGAGCACTGTCGGCAAGGTGAGTTTTGTTTAGTTATGACTTCACCACTATGTGGTTTGTTTTGAAGTCCGTCTTTTTTTATGCACTCGATCATGAGCTTTTATTTTCTTGGTTGACTGTCCAACATGATTTCTTTTCGATCTTCACACAGACATTGATGAGTGCATCTCGAAACCATGTGAGTGCGGAACATGTGTGAACAACGATGGCGGATACAAATGTACCTGCTCACCTGGATGGACTGGACAGAACTGTCAGCAAGGTGAGTTTTGTTGTGCAGTAACCATTCACAGATTGCACATCAGATCACATATATTGTTATATTCAAAATCTTCTTTTTTATCTCCAGGGAAAATGGAACTATTATTTTTGGTCTGTATGTATGTATGTGTGTGTGTGTTTTTCCGCACATTTGTAGTCATTATAACTTGGACTGGACAGCACTTTTACCGAGGTAAGATCGACTCAGGTTTGTTGTATAGTAGGTCATTTGTCTTAGTAGAGTATGTCATATTATATTAATGTTTATACTTCAAATATAAGTTCTGAGTACACACTAAAAAAGTTTATACTCAGAACTGTCAGCAAGGTGAGTTTTGTTGTGTAGCAACAATTAACGTAGCAGAGAATATTATATTACTGTAACATATTTTTTTAAATTTAAATTTTTTTTGTCACTGTCTCTGTCTTAATAATCAAATGCTTCGAATATGGGTGATATTAACCTTCGCCAAGAAGGTTATGTTTTCAGAGGCGTTCGTGTGTGTGTGCGTGTGTGTGTATGTGTGTCTGTGTGTGTCTGTGTGTGTGTCTGTGTGTCTGTACACACGATAACATGATTTTTCTTGAGAAGGCTTAATGGATTAACTTGATATTTGGTTAGTGGTGATGAGACCTGGAAATTGTTACATTTTGGGCCCCCTAGCGGCTTCTTATGGTACTGCAGCCGGCGTGGTGTAATTTTGGGCTTCCTAGCATCTAGTTACCTTCATGAAAAATTGAGGTATTGTTTTTGGTCAGTCTGTGTCTGTCTGTGTGTGTGTGTGTCTGTGTCTTTTCGCGACTTTGTAGTCAACTTCAGAACGTCTTCATGGATTGTGATGCTATCTGGTCTGTTTGTAGGTCTTAGGAAGACAAAGGTCAAGGTCAAATATGGGCCTCCTGGTGGCTGACCTTGGTACTGCAGCAGAACTTCCATTTTTTTTGTCCTCATTATGGTATGGTCTTGACTTTTTGATAACGGAGCTTTTCCTATCAGGAATAAGTGGTGTTGGTTTTGTCCCTCTAGCAGCTTGTTCTGGAACTGCAGGGTCTTTCTGGCGAAATCTTTTAAAGTCCAGATAGGAACAATGTATTTTCATTATTTTTTGTATGTAGGTAGCTGAAAGATAGATGTACATAATTAGATGCAAATTATACAAATTAAGACTTTAATTTGTATGATTAAGGAAGAAATTCTATAATACAGTGTTTTACATAATAGTACTTTTACACATGTAATCTATGTAATCTAGAATCATCTAGCTGGTAGAAGATTTAGAGATACCAATTTCAAATGGTGACCTAATTTGCATAATTAATGTAAAAATTCTCTACTTCCTTATTGGTGATCGTAAATGATCGTGAATTTTGCGTCATGCATAAATTACTTACGGTCACGTAGGGTTGACATCACTATGCATATATCATGTTAATGTCATTTGCATAA